CAGGAAGTAGTGGAAAGCATCCTGTTTATTGATCTGGGACTGTGCAAAGCCTGATGGCAAATGGTGGTAACTACATTCTTCTTCTTCATCCCACAAACACACAAAGACAAAGACTACTGTAGAAAAGCAAGTTTAAAAAAAAAAATACATACACAGTGCAAAACATTTCACTCTAGCAATCAATCCTTTTGGTATGCTCATTTGCTAGACTCTTGCTTGCTGCACTGCTACACACACACACACACACACACACACACACACACACCTACACACACACGCAGGGGTGGTATTTTTCCAGAGATAGGGTAGGTAAACTCGTTACTCTTTTCTTAATTGGTATAGAGATTCCGTCCTCTTTTTCCTCTCAGCAACCCCTCCAGGGGAATGCTGATTGATTGTCCTCTAAGTCCTCATAATCCCCCCCCCCCTCCCCTGCCTCCCTACACATATACACATACATTCTCTGTTAGAAGACATCCACTTTAACTCTCTGCAGACCCCAGTCGTCCACATACAATTCACAGTAAAGGATCATTTTTTGTCTACAGCCTTTTCTCCAGCTTTCTCATCACTGGCTCAGCCTGACAATGTACCCATACAGCTGGTCTGAGAAGGCCTGAAGAGAGAATTTATCTCGTACCCTCTTCCTCCCAGCTAGTCCCATGTCCCCGCGGAGCTGTGGCTCCCTGACGAGCCTCTCCATGGCCTTAGAGAAGGCCTCTGCCGTGGGCTCGCACAGGAAGCCCGTCTCCCCGTCTGCCACGCTCTCCAGGGGACCCCCAGAGTTTACTGCGATAACAGGGCAGCAGCAATACATGGCCTCTACGGGAACTATCCCAAAATGCTCTCTGCTCGGGGTGTACAGCACGGCTGCGCTGCCCCGCAGCAGCCCCACCTTCAGCGAATCGGAGGGGGAGCGCAAGAAAGTGACACAGTCCTCCAAGTGCAACTGCGCTGCTAGCTTTTTCAGTTCAGTATAATGTTGGACGTTCTCAGTAACTCTGTCATCGTAGCCCCCCGCCACCACCAGGTGAACGCCCGCTCTCTGGCCTGAAGAAAGGCTGCTCCTCAGGGCTGCAAGAGCCTCTAGAGCCAGCCCCAGGTTCTTCTTTCTCTCGTATCGGTTCAGAGAGAGAAACAGGCAGGAGGTTCCCTCAGGGAGCAGCCCTTCCAAGCCTTGCGCTTCAGTGGACGGCTGGTCAAAGGTACGCGTGTTGAGGGAAGGATAGAGGACATCTGTCTGGAGTCCTCGTAGACCCAGAAAGGTCTCCCTGAAGATGCCTGCGGTGAACTGGCTGTTTACCAGAATCTAAGAGGAAGTACAGCAAGATTAGTTTCATAAGGATCTCACATATATCACAGGCCATTTAATTCCCTATGAGTTGGATGAAAGCCTGCGGCCTTTGATTATCCTAAAGTCTAGAATAAAATCGAAATGTCATTTCCTTTCTATCAGGGCCCTGAGCTTTTACAACTGCTTGCCTGTGGAAATCAGGCTGTATTTTAAATAATCATTTTGGTTTATTCAAGCTGTTATAATATACCTTGAATTCTGATTTATTCTATTACACTGTAGTTTGATTAGTTATCAAGAGCCGGACTCAGTCGGGAGAGTTACTTCACCTCTCCTGTTAAACAACATCTGGATGAGATCAAAATTATTCTGAACAAATCAACTGTTTTTTTTTTTTTAAATGGAGCAGCATTTAATTAGAGTGTAATTGCAATCTAATGTGTTTTTAATTGTAAGCACACAAAGGTCGGCTGACAACAGCATGTATTTCTGGGTTGTTAATTACAGCTTTGTATGAACTGAAGCAACACAGTGGAGCATTGGAGATAGACAAAATTATAAAGAATCATTTGGAAGCTTCAACCACTGAGCTATAAAAAAATAAAATCACTTTTTTCTTGAAGGCAGCCTGTGCCACTATCCAGTTAAAGTTTTTTTTTTATATTCATAGTATTCATGTAGTACAGCAAAATGCATGGCTACATATTTGCATGATTGTAAGACATTTAAATATATAACAAAAATACATAAGTATGTAAGTTACGTAGTTCTTCTTTTTCTGAGATATATTCTAACATGCAATATGTCATAAACTCTGTTTGCAAACAGATCATTTTCAAATTGTTTATTAGCAAGTCAAGAAGACTAACGTTACTGTTCTGTAGATGAGAAAACAGCATTTGATCCACTTGGTGACCTGATCATGTATTAGGTCTATCTGTCGTCAACACCACCAGTTTGCTGTGCCGTGAGTGAAATGATGATTTAACCTTTTAACCCTTTGTACTACGATAGCCCTGACTCCATTATTAATGTGGTTTATTAAATGCATGATCTATATCTATATATTTTGAGGTCTGGTGTTTTCAACCCAGTATGTGCTTCAAAATCAACTTAAATTCATAAAAAAAAAATATTTTTTAACTCGTTACTGTTGTTACACTCACAAAAACAAGGGTTTCAAATAAAATAGAGAAACTGAGTCATATTATTAGTTTTAAAGTGAAACGCTCACATGGGCCCCTTTGGCCATTCTAAAAAAAAATAAAAAATAACTTTAAATTTACTATAAAGGTCATCTAGAACTCTACCTAAAGAATTCAGGTCACATGTTGGGCCTTTTTGTACTGTGCTGTGCCTTTTGAACCACCAGGCTATATAAATTAACTTTTCCATCTGGATGAAATAAAATGGTAACAGTGACACAATGCCGTCCTGCAATCTGACCATCACAACCTGCAGAATTATACATTCTTCAACCCTCAGCTCTTACGTACCATATCAGCCATGCCAGTGGTACGTTCCTCCAGCCAGTCGATTGGAGCGCGGTAAAGCTTCTTCAGGACTGACTTCCTCTGGGTCAGCAGCTGGTCTGGAAAGTGGCAGTAAAACAAAACCTTCTTCCTGTGACGTGACAGTCGCAGCACCGGGATGCACACTGACACCTGGAGTGGAATAAAAAGGGGAATGAACAAAAATGTAAATGTCTTCCCTTTCCGGCTAATCAAAAGCAACATGATGTGCTCTGCTTGGTTACTGTACAATCATTTAAGGAGTGAGGCTTCTTCCAAGTCAATCTAAATAATGAGCCGTCTTTGTACTGTAATTATGCAAGAGAAAGGTGGTACCTATACCTGTGTCTATTTGTATAAAAGAAATAACTGTAGAAAATAAGCAAGGGAGTGTCCATTTTATGGCATGGTATAGTTAAAGGCTGTGACACAAAAAGACACAAGTCCCCGTAACAATGGAAGCTATTCTATGAGCAACAGGGACAGCTACAAGACACAAAAGGCTCAGAAGAACTGAAACGACTCGAGACAAAACGGAGGGATAGGTAGTTCCTGAAGGACACAACTCACTTGATCACAGAAGACGACATCATACTCCACCCCGCTGAGGAAGACCAGGTAGAGAGCCACATAAATCATCCTCAGGTAGGCACACAGGGCATGCAGGTAACCAAACACACTGGTGGGTAGCCAGTCACCCACACATATCTATTATAGGAATAATAGAAACGATTAAACGTGTGTGTCTTAAAAACATCTATCACAGATTCTGCATTTTACATTAAACTATTCTTTGTCTTCTTGTGTATGTTTGAGGGGCAATATCATGTAGTATTGTATGTGTTGACGTACCACAGGAAGTTCTGGGTCCAGGGTCTCAGAGAAGCAGTGTGTTGGGTCATAATGGGCGGTCCAGATCTGAACGCTACATCCTTGAGACTTAAGAGCGACAGCAGCATCGACCACCAGTCGCTCAGCTCCACCAATACCAAGATCCGGATGGAGGAACACCACCCGCGCCATCCTGCACAAGAATGAATAATGTTCAAATTAAATCTGGAATATATTTTTGTAAAACACTGGTTTGCAGACTGGGTTTGAAACACAGTTAAAAACATTGTGCATCACTATGTAGAATGGTGCAAATAATCCCAAATTCAGTACAAGGTGTATATTCACAACAACTAATATGAGTGACAACCTTAACCTGAGACACATACTGTAAAAGAGAAACATCATTTATTACTGGCATTCAAACCATCTCAAACTTGGTGCTGGTGAGAGAAACTTTTTAGAGCTGCCTTGTTGACAAACGTTCAGTATTTATCCTTGTGGTTTTGTAACATCATTTAATTCATAACTTTTACGCCTCGAAGGAGTTCATGTCATGACAGTTTAACAGAAAATGTCACCTACACCTGCTGTAAACCAACCTTACTGTCACAATGTCCCCAAGTACTGTTAGAAAACCCTTTTAACGTTAGCTGGCACTGAAGAAGTCAAACTGATAGCAAGAGCACAAATGAGACTTCTCCTTTAACCAGTTAGTTAGGTAACTAAGTTACTATATTGCTAGATAACTGCTCGCTTTAGAAAATGTTAGGTGTCTTCAGCTACACTGATAAGATTGTGAATACCAGCCTATGTAGCTAATTAAATTATGATTTTTATGTTTTATCTTGGTGGGAAAGCACCAGAGAACTACAACTCCGTACAACTGAACCATAATAATATATATAATAATAATAATGTTTACCTTTGGATCTCTTGACCACCTTGTCCAAGTTTGGAAACCTGTGATTATGCTAGTCTGGATGCCCGTAGCAGCGAGAATAACTATCATGAAACTCTACCGGTTGGACGCCATGTTGGCTCTACTCAACCACTGTAATCAGCCTAATCGCGCTTCATGTTAGAACCACAATGGCGCCTGTTTCCTCGATACAACCGATGCGCTTCCTGTGAGACACGTCTCCCCCAGAGTCGAGGCGGACCTGTAATTTGCCTTTAACTTAAAGTACAAGTAAATATCTAAATTCAACGTAGTAAAAAAACATATGGGTTTCACAAGTACGCTTTGTTAACACAGTACAAAAACAACCTCCTAAAACAATGCGGTGATTCATTGTTTTTGTGGCGAAGGCGGTCAGCCGGTCAGGCATCTGCTCGGTCGCCCGCACTGGTCTTGTGTTTTGCAGTCGTGTCCTTTTTAGACGAGCGTCAGCTTTGTGAGACCTCTTCTCAACTTCTGACCAATTCACACACCGACTGTCTGCTGCTCGTCTGACGTGGACATCAGCTTGAAGAGAGGCTCAGGGTTTCAACCTGCATCGGGACAAATAAAACAAAATGGTAAGATTCTCAGCTCCACCTGAAACTGTTGCTACTGTCGGAGATAACCAACTCTGTTACACTGATTCAACGTGAGAGCTGAGCTATCTGTTAGCTAGCCTGCTAACGTCAGCGCATCATTTGTGGACGTGGCTGTTTCTCAGCAACTCAGACAGTCCCAAAACACACTTTAAGCTGGTCCAGTACTGGATTCATTCATTATTTATGTACGAGAACATATCTGGGTGAGCTACTATTAAGTTTAAAGTTGACAGCAATGAACAGTGTGGACCAACTCTAGTCAAGGCCTTTGCCACCACTCTGACATAAACACACTGTAACTTACAGCTCAGGATCAATCAAATGTAAGT